CGATAGGTCATGACGTCTCTAAAGTTGTCAGACAATCTTTCCGCCAATTCGTCAATCTTGAACCCTTTATTGTAAAGTGAGTGGGACACGTTTCTGATGAACTGCGAATAGTAGGTGGCAAAGTCTCCTTTGTCTTGCCTCAGGGGGACTAGTTGGCGGTGTGTGGTACTTTGGGTGTTTAGGTCTCTAAATGAGCCTTTCATGTGGGCAAAAAGAAGGTGACGGAGGAAAAGAAGTCAGCAGAATTGGCGTTAACAAGTTGTATTACCTGATCAAGGGCTCTTCCCTCCAAACAGCTGACAGCATAGAAAACCTTTGCTGTCCCATTGCGGAACCGATTATGGTTGACTTCGTGCTTCATTCGGAGTTGGGTAACGAATCCAGAGATTTTTGTCCGGATGCCATCAAACTTTTCAGGGAACGTTTCAGACCCAAAGGTGGAGAAAGTGGTTGTTGCAGTAGCAGTGAAAACGGGGAGAGGAACATTGGGGGCAGGGGCGGTGTGGTCAACATTGAGGTCAAGGTTGACCTGTATTACTTGCTCTTCCAGGTAGCCAATGGTTTTGTGGACGTCGGAGAGCAGTGTACAAGCACTATCCATCTCGTGTCGGATGCTTTAAAAGATAGTAGGGAGACGGTCAAACAGGGCAGCAGTATTCTATTCGTACTGATGGTTAAACTACTCGATTTTGTTAGATGAGACCCATGTAGGTCGGTTGAGGGTGGACATGGCGTATGGTGCGGATTACGACGCAACGTAATCCTAGGGAGTTGGGTAGCGAGTATTCCGCAGTGTACGGGAGATGGTCATAGGGGCTGGTAGGTTAATCAGCGAGAGGGGTTGGAGAAACTTACAGTAGTTTAGGTCTAGCGGTGGGAAGGTCGGAGAAGTGAGATGGCCTCCTTATAAAGGAAGAGAAAGTAGTACTTGAATAGCAATAGCCAGAGTAGATTACCTAAGCCTTTGCGTACTAATAGAAAGAGAAGAAAAGAGAGGGAAAGAGAATAGAATCGAGGGCAAAGCCCCTTAATATACATAAAGAGAGCTTAGCAATCACAAACCCCAAGTGACTCATACCCTTAAAATCGACGGAATGTTCTAGAAATCCATAGAATTTTTCTGATCAATTCGACCCTTTGTAACAAACTATATTATTCAATCATTCTATGAAATTGTACAAGGTTTTAGGATCTGAATTGGGTTACACTGAGAACGTTCAAGCAATTGAGTGCTATACTGACCGCCAGTCAGCTCAAATATGACATTCTCAATCAAAAGCATTCATAATCCTAATTCCAATAGCTTGGGGGAATTCGGGCGCATACTGTTAATAGGTAGGTGAGGTGGAAGAGATGTTATCTTGCGGACATCGTCAAATTCCTACCCTTTTACAAAAATACAAAATATCAGGATACACGTTATGAAGACTGTTATCAATTAAAACAATGAGTTTTAGATAGAGGTGCTGAATATTGTTCACTTTCAAGTTCAGAATATGATCATAGATTGTATATAATTCAGAATAGATTGGGAAGCCACAACCTAGTGTTTTGAGAAGATATTTTGCAAACCGTAGTGCAGTATTCAATCCATTCAATATTGATCCAGAACATGGTATACCAATCAAGCCATCAAATACATTGAGTATCAATTCCAGTATTTTACTGTTCCAATAAATATTCATAGCTTTCAAACCTTCATAAACGATTGTAACAAATGAGAATTTGAATTTCTGGTACATTTGCTATCCTGATATATACCTATCAAAGGATTGTAAATGATACAAAAGGTTTTGTTTGTCAATAACTGTTAAATTTGCTGTTCTGATAAGAACGTATAAGTATGAACCAATTATTAATTATATCAACCAATTTCACTACTAATTACTGATTCGAATATTTTTCTGACAGGTATCGACTCCTATTTAGTGTTGAAACATCATACAGAAAGCTTTTCTTATCGGTATACACTTTACTTGCCATTCCGATTTATATGCATACGTATCAAGCGATTGCCAAAAATCCTCACAAATCTTATCTCCTATTCCTGATTTACATTCTGTCACAACAAGTGTGAATACAAATCGAATCATAGGAAACCATACCAACAAATCTCAATTGCAAACTCTGATGCAATTTCTGTTTCGATTGATATTTATACCTCTCAAGCTATCACAAACAGTAGTAACTAATTTCACCATTAGTGTTTGCTTTACACGCTGTCCTAGTAGACATGCATATCTATCCAGCGATTCAATATTGCTCAGTAGTGTCTAGAACAATAATACGATACAGCCTGAAGACTGGTAATTGCAAGCTTCATGATTATGTATCGGAATTAGAATGTAGGACGGAATACTGAAGTGACACTTTTCTATGTGTTTTTCTTCAGGTCGTTACGTTATTCTATTACTACAAAATACAATTTTTTGTCAAAATGTAACAGATCAATCTGTATTTAATGGTGGTTGAAACCTGCTCGTGGGTAGTTAGGGTTACGAGCGTTCAAATCTGGTTTAATTATGTGTACAAAATACAATCTTCGGTCAAAATGAAATACTTGAATGTGTATTTGGTGGTGGTTGGAACCTAGATGTGGGTAGTTAGGGTTACGAGCGTTGAAAGCTGATTTTGTTATGTGTACAGTATACAATTTTCGGTAAAAATGAAACACATAAACTTGCATTTGGTGGTGGTTAAAACCTAGTTGTGGGTAATTAGGGTTACGAGCGTTGAAAATTGGTTTGGTTAGGTGTACAAAATACAATGTTGAGTCAAAATGAAACACATCAATGTGTATTTGGTGGTGGTTGAAACCTAGTTGTTGGTAGTTAGTGTTACGAGCATTGAAACTTGATAAAGGGGTAACCTGGAGTACAGGATCCGAGTTGGCTTAAGAAGACACAGCGGATACAATTAGTGGGATTCACTCAATACGGTAACTGGGAGCTCAGAATCTGGAATTCATGTATTCCATCAAAGCAGAGGATGGGAAAATGCAGCCTCATTGAATTTTGAGTGCCGTCATGATCGTGGACTCGAGACAGTGCATTTGATATCATGCAGTAATCGACCATTGTACCCACCCGGTGAGTAGCAGTACCAGGAGTGAAACAGGACAGGTTGCTAAGACTCACAATAAGTTACACTAATCAACAGCCCACAACCACCAACTCCACCCCTGCAATCACAACCACAAGCATTTGTACGCGTATACCTGATCATAAGAATAGACTCGGGTGGTCCTGTTCAACCCATAGCCACGGAGCCGGAAATTGTTGGGAGACGGTTCTCAGGCAACCTCAAAATCCTATGCGAGATTGCCTTATCAGATTCGTAGAAGATTCTCCACATCGTTCAACCAATTAGTGACTGTTCTACGGGTACAGAGATGGAACGATTAGATGCCAGCTGGAATGACTATCTATACAAAATTATCACACCTCATGAGTTAGCGAGAGTCACGCCACAGGAAACGTTTGATGGAATGGCCTCAAGACCAGGACCAGCAGGCAAAAGATCTTGCTGGATACTCGTAACCTCGGTGGATACAATAAATTGTCAGACAAATTCAAAACGTTATTCACAGTATCAATAACTGTTAGCAACAGGGCATGTTGTTTCGATCTTCCGGTAGAATGGAAGGTTCATGACGTATTCTACAAGATTTTGTTGTGATATTATCGCGACGACCTGACTCCCGATAGGCAATAGAATATACAAAAATGACTAGCAATACCTGATTCTCACGGGACATTGGCGGATGAGACCTTCCAGCTAACCACGAATACTTGACCTTACAAGAGAAGTCAAGGCCCTACGGCGGACACCCAGTAGACCCACAAACGCCAATAGACAAGTAAGGACTAGCCACGATACTTTTTCCACTCTATGACATTTCCTACAGGGTTTTTATAATAGAGAGGTTTTAACGGTCGATGGCTATGTGTAGGAAGGAGGAGTAGTGTTATAGGAATCATGGAATGCTTTGCAAAGGAGAGGCACAATACAGAAAATGAGTGACGGGTTATGATGCGAGTATGGTCGGGTAATGAGAGGACAAGCATAGAAAGGTATTGGGTAGTGAGAAAGAACGTGATGCAGCCACACTAGTATTAGGCTATTGTAATGGCATGCTTACTATTAAGTTTACTTACCTGGAAAGGAATAGAAGTTAGGCTTGCAGCTGCAGACTGTTCTACTTCGGGAAGTAGGTTTAGGATAATAGTATAATATATTTTAGTTACTGGCAATTGGAATGTTGAAGGTTACCTATCGGGATAAGAATGAAGCATGGGACTATTTGGGGATGCATTTCTATTGGGGTTATCTCTAGGTTGATTGTGTTATTGTATTATTGTTATATCATTAGTAGTGGAAAACGGGCCTTAGCATAGGTTCCAACATGTATAAGTAGGAGACGGTTCTGCCTCGACTTAAGGGTATCATTAGCCATCAAGCGAGCTGAATCCGATCTACAATATTAAATCGTTTAAAAGCTACAGAACTATCGCTTAGCATTGGCATTTCCCCAAACACTTCTTTGTGGAAATGTCAGCACCTTTGTCCAGTAGGTACCGGACGGTGTCTAAATGACCGTACCGCGCGGCGAGCAGTAGAGCGGTCCATCCTACAGTATCGCCCCGTAGTGATATATCCGCCCCTATGTCTAATAGGTACTCGACTATTTGGAGCTTTCCGCCTCTAGCAGCGCCGTGCAGAGCAGACAGTTGACAACTGCCCCCCACGACCCCATGTGCCCCGTGCTCCAGGAGCAGTTTGATGATTGGGAGATGGCCAATCTTAGCGGCTGTGTGCATTGGTGTGTATCCTGAAGGATCAGCTTCCATCGGTCGTGCTCCCTTCTCCAATTGCTCCAGAAGTAGCTCGCAATTATTGCTCGAAGCCGCCGTCACTAATAATTGTTGAATCGCCTCTAGGACTTCGATCAGCCTTCGAGTACAGAGAAATAAAGGCACTGAATGTAGGCTGCATCTTACCTTTTCCAGAAGAGGTGCAGAAGCTCGGGTATGTGTATTTGGATCCGATGTGTGTACGGGAGCCGACTGGCCCTTAGCTCCAAGAGCCGGATCCTTTGAACTTCCCACGATCGGCTTAGCTTCAGGTTCCGAGGCTTTTTTAATTGTGCCAGGTGATATATTCGTCCACATGGTCTCATGCCGCTCTTTGATCAAAAGCCAAGAGTGCAGTTGAGCTTTTGATGCCGAGGCTTGCTCTGCTGGTAAGGGCTGAAGTAAACTAGATATAAATCCAATCGCTGAGTGGGGGATTGTAAGTGCAACCGCGGTTCCCGGTGGAAAAGTGTCCCGGCCGTGTAAAAAGTTGATCAGATTTCTAGCCTCAGGAAATGGCAGCTCTTTCGTGATCATGAAGTATACTAAACATCCCAAGGACCAAATATCTACTGCTGTGGTATATGAGCTGGTGTTTTGATCACCGAATCCCCAGACCTCTGGTACCATGAAGGGTCTAGTCCCTGCTGTGGTTCGCCATTCAGTCTTGCCACCGAAGTATTTAGAGACGCCAAAGTCACCGATCTTTACTGAAAGTGGTATCCAGCGGGCGATCAGGATATTACCGGGCTTCAGATCTCTGTGGCAGATATCCTCCTTATGCAATCTTTCCAGGCCAGCAAGAATCTGTTTCGTAACGCTCTTTGTGTCATCCTCAGGTAGGTCTCCTTCCTTGAGCAATGCATCCAGGTCGCCAGACAGGTATTCCATAGCCAAATAAATGTTATATTTATCCTCGAACCGGCCCGCAAGCTGCACGAAGTGCTCTGGGTACTAATTTAGAGAGACAGAGTTAGTCTAGTACAAGCGTATTTCGTCCTTCCAGAGGTGAGCGGATCTTGCTAGGGAACATTACCGAGCGAAGTCGTACTTGGATCGAGATTTCGTTCCACCTGATGAATGACCTCCTGATCTGTTTGACCGCTCTAAGATTCCCCCCGCCCTCTGCACAGGTCTCTTTATAGACAGTACCAAATGTGCCCTCTCCAAGGGTCTCAGTCCAAGTCCAGGTTTCGTATCGTCCTGGCTCCTCGCGCTCGGCGATCGTATGCTTGTACAGCCCGTCAATGAATTCCGTGACTAGTTTGAACTCCTCAAACTGTGAGGAAGTAGGTTTCATTTCTTCGTTGGGCGGATATATCTGTTAGGGATGTGATAGTAATAGTGGCCGTGAAGATAGACTTCGGTGAGCTAGATCGTGGACCCCCGAGCTTTAAAGTTGGGACGCGTTGTACTGTGTGAGTGGGCTGTGAACATAGCCATTGTAATCGAGCGTGAGGGCGGGCCCGTTGTCGAGCAGTCTTGGCGAAACTGTGTTCGGACACGCTGGTTGGCCGGCTGTTGTGTACTATGTACATGTATCTCTTCTTCGTCGAACGATACGAGTACATATTACGAGGTGATCAACTTCGACTAGCAAAACAGGAGCATGTATTGATGATGGTGTAGACAAGAAGAGAAAGAGACAAGAGCTAGCTAGAGAATGCCCGTGATGCGGACACCTGTAGATACATGTACATAGTGTCCCTAACGCTACTTTTACTTTGGGCGCCTAGTTCGGCTAACCCACGCGTCCACCCGCCCAACAGCGTCTATTATCAACACGATGACTTTGCTTACCAAGCGCCAAGCGCCACAACAGCTCCGTAATAATACAGGGCATTTTAGACCTCACCACACACACACCTACCCTCACCCTCACCCTTACCCTTCACTTACTCGAACCTCATCCCCCCATAACAAAAATGTCACGGTTGCCCTCCAGCCCCTCGCCCAAACCTCACATTGACAATCAAAATGCTCACCCCCGCCCCCCGCTGAGCCATGGCCAAACCTCACATTTACGTACACCAAACCTTCACTCATTAAAAACTTTTATAAACTTTCGAAGGGCAGACTAGCATTTCGGGTTCGGCGGAGATAATGAGACGAGAGCAGCTATTTCGTAAGAGTGCGTGGAACAGCCCACTGCCAGGGTGATACTGAATTATGTTGACGCAATACCTACATTTACACTCACACCAGTCACTCATGGAGACAGACACACCCGCTGTTGAATTATCCTTATTCCCCACTCAAGCCTCCGTTTTATGGATCTTGTGGTGCTAGGCAGATATAATCGCTGACCCGGCGTGGGGTATCCATTCACCCGGCCATGCTCTATACCACGCTCAGTGGCTTCTACAGGATGGTCTACAGCTACAGAACGGGTATTGGGGGTTTTACTGTTGAAGGTTTACTGCCGACGTTGATAGAGGTTCAAACTTAGTCATGAGGAATATTCATTCAAGGAAACTAATAGAAAAATACACAAAACCGACATTTGCAGCTTCTCGCATACACACCACTTCACCTCGCCACCAAACATATCACCTCCAACTAAGCCGCCAACGCCACCATGACCTTACAGTCATCCCTCACCTCCCCCGTCGTTTCGTTCTGCAATTTAAACAGCACCTCCCCCAACCTTATAGTATCCGGAAGCGGTGGATACACCTTGGCGTGCAAGAGCCACGTCTCGCCCTGCCGCAGTAATCATCAGCCCAACATCTTTCATCCAGGGGGCCAACATTGTTTACTTACCGAGCGAGCTTCCACCGCCTCGCAATCAGTCCTGCCCTTGTGGACTGTGAGTCGCAGGTCCATCATGTGTGCCCTATGCCCGGCGTCCGTATCGTGCCAGGTGCAGTGCAATGTGCTCTATGTCTGTTGTTAGCATGTGGACACCCAGTGAACGTGGCGAAACATTACCATGGGCATGGCTTCTTCAAAGCCTTCCAAAGGTACGGGCTCCGGAAGGGCATTTACAGACGCAAGGGCGAGGGGGGCAGAGGCAAGAGCGACGGGGGCAGAAGCAAAGCCGAGGGGGGTAGTTCCAAACGTGAAGGGGGTATTTGCAGCAATGATACGGAGGAGATCCGCGCCAGTGAGAGGAGGGTTCGTGACGTCTGGATCTTCATTTGTCCAGGACTTGCGGACGGAGTCAAGCTCATGCAGGATCTGTGGTGGGGCTGGTCAGCTCTGTACAGTTCTAGATGCGGCCGGGGGTGTGATCCGAGGTCTTGGCGTGGAAGCCCGGGCTTGCGTAGAAGAAAGGATTACCTTGATAATGGCCGGACGATTGGTGTTCTCCATGTCGGCCTTGAAGTCGCCGGTGATCTGCTGCTCAAACAGTTCGGGGTGCTGTGTGAATATGGGGTTGTTGAGCCAGATGTCTGCACGAGTGGTTAGAACAGGGCTACCGCGAAGGGTCAAAGAGGATGACAATCAAGGGGTTGCCCAACCAAAGTTACTCATCCAGTCCGAGTACACCTTCAGTTTCTGCAGCTGCTGCTTTGCTTCCACACGGCTGAAAGCCATCTTCTTGATGGCCTCTTGCAGTTCCTAGATTCTTTATGAGCACACTCCGATTCACGACTCGGGGGGTGAGGATAGTTGCGACGGGAACACTCACTGCGCGCTCCTTAGCACCGGCAATGGCCCCCCAGACAAGGGCGACGACGGCCATGAGGGCGAGGACCGGTAGGATTACCTCACTGGCAGCGATCGCAACCGTGCCGGCGATAACCCCAAACGCAACCAGGCCGCCGAGAACCACACCAGTTGCCACAGCCCCCAGCCCGGATATCGTGAGAATCCAGCTCTGAATGCCATGATCCCGGCTTAGTCTGCACCTTGGGGTCAGTACAATTGGTCCCAGCATCAAGATTGCGCAACAGGGGGATGCCGTACTCCTTGGTCATCTCCTTCCATTTTGCAAGTTCGTCGTTGGCAAGCACTTGCTCGATCTTTGCCTCCAGCTCTGCAAAAGAGGAGTACCCATGAGCGTGGAGCAGCTCTGTCACTTTCACATCCATCCTCTTTTCCTGCTCCTCGCTGTGCCGGGGGGGGAATCAGCATCATCTCATGTGACGAGTCGGGGGACGGAGATCCGTATACTCACACCCGAGCCTGAAGCTCCTTGAACTCGGCGCATATTAAAGTGATGTCGTTTTTGAGCTCCTGGCAGCGCCCGCGGCGGCTGGGATTGTCGGGGTAGAAAAGGTCGCTGATGCCACTACCGACGCTGTGACTGTTGCCCATTGTGTCTGCTTACCTGCTTATTCTCTTGATCTGTGAGAGTCGGGGACTTGTAGGAAGGGGGGTGGGGGGGGGGGTTGGTTGGCTTTGGCGCTGTGGTTTGTCGTTGTGGTTTGACGGTGGGGGAGGTCTTTAGCGAGCTATCTATATACACACTGTTGCCCCTGTGGTGATGGTCGCCACTTTTCTCAGTCAACAGAGAGGGTAGGCAGTGTATCATGCCAACGAAGTGCATATCACAACATCGCCCCGACTAGCTTAGCCAGATTGAGACCTGGACCCGTTATCGTTATCGCCGCTTTCAAGTCTGTCTGCGGGACATACAGGTCCTCATGTCAGCTAGCCCCGGTTCGAATTCCATAGATCTAGCCAGCTGAGCTCACTGGCCAGAGAGCGACCGGGCCCCGATCTTGGGCTGCTACGGCGGCTCATACATACAAAAGTACAATCGGGGTTTTGAAGTGAATGGCAACGACTCGACAACACAAAACTCGACCACCACCATCACCAAAAAAAAAATTTGTTTGTAAACAATTTAGACGGGTATGAAAATTATTTCACATTGTAGACACAGTATTAATAAATTAAATTCGTGTATAAACCCTTAGCTTTGGTGTTCCCAGGAAAAACTTATTTAAGAAATAAAATATATAAGAGATTGAAAAAACAATTTAGACGGAGATTTAAACTACTCGGTATTGTAGATGTACTAGATAGGTAATGAATCTCTTTGGGACTATAGTGTTTTGATGTTCCGGTTAACAAACTATTTGGAAAAGAAAAACTCTATAGAAATTCAAAACAATTTAGACCGAGCTAAAAACCAGTCTATTGTATTGGAATAATATAGATTATAGAAACTCCAATTGACATGATTTGATTTGGTGTTACCGTCAGCAAGTTAAGGAGAGAAATAAATTATTAACAATTCTATTCTGAGTCTGAGTCCTCCCCATCAGTTCTTTCACCACCAGCCACATCAGCCTCGTTCTCACCCAAAAACTTTGCCTTGCAGGAGTTCTCAATATCTTTCCTTCTCAAAACTTCCTTTGGTTTCGGTAGAAGGGATAATGTAGGCTGAATATTTCCACGTTGAATATGTTTTATTAAATGAGCTTGAAGGAAACGGTACATGACATAATGGCTTTTTCTCTCATCAGGCATTTTATCTTCATATTCGATTACCATTGCAAATCTACTCTTTGCTAAAACAGCTTGACTATAGCTCATGGTTTCTTTCAGCAAATATATATCGTTGTCTAAAAATGTTAGTAATTGAGTAAAAGTTTTTAACTCCAACACTTCACATAATACTCTTGATTGGAGATATTCATTACCTTTTCATCCTTGATTTTCTATATAATCAGAGTAGAGGGTATCTATGCATAGTGTATAACTTCATCGGGAGGAAAATGCTAATGGTAATATGGCTCTCTGGTTGGAAGATTTAGTCTGCTGCTTTGTTTGCGTATTTTATAATTATTCCAGGAATTGTCAACCTAGTGAAGCTTGGTACGTATAACTGGTAGATAAATAAAAAGAATCGATATTGTATCCTCTATAGAATTATTTTGGAATAGGTTATCTTGCTCAAATTAATGGAAGTATTTCTAAAAGTAGTTAATCAAAATATATATCAAATAGCCGATGAATTTTGTACCTTCCAATCAGCTGTAGCTCCTTTGATCAATTGATACCACAAACTCTCGATTCTAATGTTTTTTGTTAAAGTGCCTTGCCAAAAGACTTCCGGAAAGGTAATATCAGGCTTCTCAACCTTATATTACTCCCAAAATAGCTCAATCAATAACATGGTTTCAGTGTCTCTATCTGTTCGGATTTGCAATGGAAGACATTTCTGTTCTCTGAGACTCTCAATAAATTGACTCAAAATACTGATGTCTGTCTTTCCCGAGACGCAACAATAAAACCAAGTAACGTATTTTGAATATGCATCGATAGCAGCATAGATCTTAATTCCATACATTTCGAGTTTCAGATTACCATCTACCGACCAGTACCAATTTGGGTTTGGGTGGGTAAAGTGTAACGACGTATTGGCATCACGGTCGGATATTGTTTTAGGGCGTAAAGAGGAAGTAATTGGCAACAAGGTTAGCATTCCTAATATGAGTTTCCTTTGGGTTCTATGGGCTTTCATTGTACGGGTGTATGAGTCGTATTTAGACCGGAGTTATTGGATATATAAAGGGGTTCTACCTTTCGTTGATATTCTGTTTCTCTCTTTTCTCTTTATGCAATTTTCTTCATTCTCTCTATATTGTTAGATTACAATACTATCTTCATCCTACATTATACAGGGTCAGGCCACTTGAATCCTGGGATTTAGATAACCTACTTGAGTATTCCCAGAGTCAATAGTTAGAGTTCCCTGGCCTGCAATACCAAGAGAGTCTACAGTATATTAGTTAGTCCATAGTTTCAGTTCATGTCCTCTGCTTCGGTTGTGTTCCTTGGCAACCATAGTCTACACTTTCAACCAAATCTAAAGAACCACGTAACATAAAATGAGCATGATGCCGATTAACCTATTTCCATCGGGTCTCAACCCTACTATTGTCAGGGCTCTACCTATCCAATTATGGGAGGCCAATATTCCCACATTATGGAGATGTATCTAAACCAACCTTCTTGCAGCTAAATTGATGTTGCTTTTTCTTAACTCTTCTTCGATAAACCCTTTGAGTTTTTGGTCCAAATCCTGTGTTTGATTCAAGGGTGTTTCTCTATGGAACATTACCATTGTAACGGAGCCATTTCAACTGTCTGGTGTATGAGTACATACAGGGCCCGGTTACATGCTGAGAGTTATTGTTAGAAGCCAGTTGCACGGTGATATGCAAGTACCGGCAGTGTGGTTAGCTACCAGCTGTTAGAGTAACTACATTCCGGACGCTAGGAAGGGGGATCTATTCATGGGAGCAATGACTGACGAGTCTATGCCTCGCCAGTGACTAGAAGACCGGCCAGAGTGAAGCTCTGATTGCCCGGTGATCCTCTATATCCTCTGAGCATTGTAAGTCCGCCGAATGGCAGGGACTATGCTAGGGAAGTCTACAATAAGCGAAAGCTCTACAGCAATGATTAAGCTTACACCTGAGCGGCAGCTCATTCATGCAGGTCCTCGGTTGTGTGGCAACCAAGGCTGCAGGTGTTACAAAGGCTTTGACTAAGGGTGGTTGCCTTGGGTATCGGAAACACCTGCTGACGCTTAGAGAAAAAGCGGGGTAGCGGTGGTATTGTTTCCGGTACTGAGGGAAGGCCCACCGGAACTTAGTAAAGGAGTTAGGAGCAGAGAATAGAAGCCTTCGGAGTATAAGTACTCAGGTTCATTCTCGCCCTTCAGTCCTGTTCTCTTCAGTCTTCATCAGAAAGAAAAACCAAATTCTTATCGGTAGCAGAGCCCTTAAAGATTATTGAGTTCTAGCGATAGTATCTTTGAATAATCTGCAACCTGATTGTCTATCTTGCACGGCCGTCTCTATTCTACTTTATTCCATTTCTCTTAGAAGAGACCCCCGTTACAGATAATCTTTAAGGCTCAAGTCACCTTCAGATTATTCTTCCTCTATACCAAATGTCCGCCCTCTCAGCTCCAGATGCACCCCTTCAGATTGAATGGCAGCCGGTGCCCCTCCAGCTTGATGCCACCGGGCAGACACAGCTTGTTAAGAAACTCAGGACCGCTCTACATGCCTATATTCCCGGCTGTGAGCCTGCCTGGCAGGATACCGATGAGGTTTCCTTACAACACTTCTTCACAGAGCTTCAGACCTACCTCCAGCACAGCCTGCAGAGTCAGTTGAACCGAGGCAGTCAGGCACTGCTCATTGTACAAGAGCGCCAGGCAGCACAGAATGCTCTGATGGCAGAAGCTCTAGAGTACATGAGGTCGGAAGTCAACTCTGTTCAGGAAGAGCTCCGGAAGTATGCAGAAAGAGATGAACTGAATGCCGATGTTGATGCCATGGAGATTGAGTGGACAAATCCGGCCACTCCACCAGACTTTGTTGCCGAGATACAGAGAGCTCTCGATGAAGGAAGGTTGGTGGTGGGTAGACCAGCAACTCCGGCACCACTTTCAGTCTCCAGGTCCTCTTCCAGAGCAGCTACCAGGACAATGCAGCGGAAGACCAGCCCCTTTGCAGCATTTCCGGTCCGATCCACTAGGAGAGTTATCCCTATTGTGCAGCCAGCGGTGGGGGCTTCACCATTACCACCTAGCCGCTTCGGTGGAACACATCCACTCCTTGGAGGAGCCGACCGATCCTTTGACTATGAAGGAGAGTTCTTCTCAGGTGCAGGCCGAGGACCCCCTAGTCCGCTAGCCAGGAACCCAGGAAGGTTTACCATGTTTGGGGCTGCTCAACCAGCAGCAACCTCACCACTGGCCAGCAATCTGGCGCCGGTAGCACCTGTGGCCCCTCCTGTTGCGGCCGCCGTTCCCCCTCCAGCCCAGGCACAGGGAGGAAGTGGTGGAAATCAGAACACCCAAGCCCAGGCACAGGGAGGAAGTGGTGGAAATCAGAACCCTCCACCTCCAGCGGCCCGTGCTCCCGCTCCAGGAGATCCAGGTGGTTCTGACAGTTCGGACTCGGAACCAGAAGGTGGTGACAGAAGAGGCTGGCGGAGATATCTCAAGAAGAAGTTGGAGAAGCAACAAAAGGATTTGTTTGCCATGGTGTCCCAGCAGTATCAATCTCCGGCCACCTCCCACCCTTCTACTTCCACCAGAGCCCGAGAACCAAAGGCACCACCACCATCAAAGTTCCAAGGCAAAGCGGAGCAAGTGGAGACCTTTATCCGGCAATGTGAGAATGTGTTCTCCATTGAGAGTCTGTCCTTCACCTCTGAGGAGGTTAAGATTCGATATGCAGGCAACTTGATGGAAGGAGAGGCAGCGATCAGATGGTATGAGGCATACCACAATTCAATTGATCAAGCCTCCGCCAACCGCCTTGCTGGAATGCCGGTGACTTTGGATCTGAGATGGAAGCGCTGGGATTCCTTTGTGGATGCTTTTAGAGCTGCCTTCGGTGAAGCCATCTCTAGAGATGATGCTGTAGCCCAATGGAATACCCTTACCCACACAGCCCGAGGAGGAATAGACCTTTTCCTGAATACTATCATTCAGCTGATGTGGAAGACTGGCTATGAGGGTCAGTTGGTGGATGATAAGATCAACAATTCCCTCCTTGCGGACCTAGGCATGAGTTGGGCTCTCTTCAACCCCAAGCCAAAGTCTTTGATGGAGCGGATAGCTGCTCTAAGAGAGTTAGGGCACACCCATGAGAGGTACCGAGGAATGGCAGCTGAGAAGGCGCCACCTCGGACCAAGAAGGATCCTCCCGCTGAGAAGGACCAGCAGCCTAAGAGGAAGAGAGAAGCTGTGAGCTCCTCCGGACCTCAGAAGACTCCCGGTCCTAAAGACAAAGCGGTGGAACTGAAGGGTATCCCGGGGGATATCCTAGAAGAAAGAAGAAAAGCAGAAGTATGCTTGAAGGTATGACCTTCCGGTACTCCCTATTGGTAGAGTGCATAGACTGACTTGTGCAAATAGTGCGGCAAGTCCAGACACAAATGGACCGATTGTTGGTCCAAGGAACCTACGGTTGTCCGAGTGGCAGCAGTGAGAGTACAAAAGCGGAAAAGAGGGAATGGCAAGTCCAACTCTCAGAAGAAGGCTAAAGTGGCTGCTGTAGTAGCAGAAGATCCACTTGTTGTACTCCCGGAGGTTACAGAAGATTTTGTTTTTCAGCCTGAGCAAGACTCGGACAATGAAATCATCTGGTAGAAAAGTGTCTGTTTGAATCTATGTTTACTAGTTTTCTTTTATTTTGGGTTTTTGGGGTTTCTATGTTTCTCTTGAATAAATTATGATTGTGTTTCCGCCTATTTGATTGCTCCAAGCACTCTGAGGATGGGTTTAAGACCCGAAACAGCTGGTCTGTCAGTGCTCTACCAAAGTTACATTTGTTACCAAGACACTTCCAAACCGCTGCTAAAAAGACTACTACACAATATATCTGCTATATTACCGCTTGGGAATAGAACCAAAGGATCTTTGATCTTAGTAGTGCCCGAAGCCATTAGCTATGTTGAAAAGACAAAGAGAAACGAGTCCAGGACCCGCTGTTAAGCAAAGAAGGTTGGAACAGAGGCTTCCC